AATAGGAAAATCTCAAAAATACCCCAGGGAAAATCAGTACCAGTATGAGCAGTTCTGCCCTCAGCAGCAGTAGATGCCCAGCTGCAGTAGATGCCTGCTAAATTCTTATTCAAGGACAAGTGGACTATCACCAGCTCTTCCACAGAGAGCAGAAAGCCTAGCTGCTAGTCTCCTAGTTTTAGTCCACACCTCCCATATCCCATGAAAGCAGTCAACTTACCTGATTAGGGGGTCATATTGGTGGGAATACCTCCCACTCGTTAGCAGCCAGTCGCTGTGCAGCCAGAAATGCTAACTACAGAGAGCGGGTGAAGAGAGGGAATGAGTGTCTAATGCGTGAATGAGGGAATGAGTGTCTAATTCTATGTCCTTACAGGCTAACCCCATGGCTAGAGACCACTGCTGCGAGTTCCAAATTGTTGTCCAGGCATGGAGCCCCATTTTGCAGGCAGTGCTGCAGCCTTCTTACAGGCACTACAACCCCTCCGGAGAGTTTCAGAGATGCTGTAAGATTGCCAACATCCTCACGTGCGCACCCAAGTGTCCTCCACACACAAGGGACTTATAGCAGCACCATAAACTGACTCTGAGAGGCAAGAGCTGAAATTGCAAGCATGGGCTCTGATGTAAGCACATGCTTTTGTGTTTTCCCTAGAATCTGGCTATCATGGTACTATTAATTATTATATCAGACCACCACTAGAATCATATAACCGTTTCTTGCACAAACATAACCAGTTCTTGTCAAGTCAATGAATCCCTCTGAATACAGGCCTAAGTAGTTCCTTTTTCAGAACAAAGATGTCTTAATAGAGGACTCCCAAGATAAGGGGTATTTTACAGCAACCTGAGGTATGTCGTAGGTTAGGAAAAAATGCTAATTCATCAGTACTTCAAAGTGTATGTAATTGTTCTTTTAAATAAAGGGAGCAAAACTGAACGTATTCATTGTGAAATTAACTTTTCCATCCATCAAAGTCAGTGTGCTATTTCTTTAGTTCATTTTAATTCATAGCTTTTATATAAAAAAATTTTGGCTTTTGTTATAACAACGACATTTATTCATGGACTTATGATATCCTCAGTATTTCAGTAATATGTACCATAAGTAATTTATAAGGTGTAAGTTGATTTCTTTTCACAATTAGTTTCAAATATCAGAAAGCTTCTGAGTATGGCAATAACCCCAGGATTTTATTTGCCTGAAGATACAAAGTCTGGTGATTGCATCATTCCTTCATCAAAACAGCTCTAGCCAGCAAAATCAGTTCCCAGCCCTGGTGAAAGGGAGTTATGAACCACGCCTGCCTTTGCAGTGGGGTCCTGCTGAGGTGGGATAGACCAGAAGTTCTCTAGCAGCAGCTCCTAGTCAGCTCTCTTCCAGAAGGTTTTCAGTAAGTTAAAGCATGAAAAACTCACTATGAACTCACACGTAGTCTCTGTAGTCAAATATTCACTGTCAACCTCAAAAGTTAAGAAGCAAATTGTAAATAATAGAATCATAGAATGGTTTAGATTGGAAAAGACCTTTAAGATCATCAAGTCCAACCGTTAACCTAACACTGGCATCCCACCACTAAACCATGGCCCTAAGCACCTCGTCTACCCATCTTTTAAATACCTCCAGGGATGGGGACTCAACCACTTCCCTGGGCAGCCCATTCCAATGCTTAACAACCCTTACGGTGAAAAAATTTTTCCTAATGTCCAACCTAAACCTGCCCTGGCACAACTTGAGGCTCTTTCCCATTGTCCTGTTGCCTCTTACCTGGGAGAAGAGACCAACATCCACCTCACTACAACCTCCTTTCAGGTATCTGTAGAGGGCGATAAGGTCTCCAAATAATAATTTGTATTAATTTTTTCTTCTATTTTACAGAAACTCGACACTCTGTAGAAACCTATAGAATAAGAAACCTTCTAATGCCAGCCATACATGTTGCTGGAACCCACTGATGCTACAAATAAATCTGTTTGTAATGCTGCAGTACTCTTGAGAAATGCCGGGAATGTCCTACAGCAAGTCAGAGCTATGGGGAGGAATGGAAAGAACTAAAATGAAAATCTTTTTAAAAATCAGTTATAAAAGGAAGAAAAGACTGCTGTTGCTAAAGTCTCTCTCTAATGTGACTAGGGAGGCATAGAAGTAAGAGAAATTCAGTTAGTAAGGTATTTTATTCACATCATGTCTGGCAAGAGGACTACTGCTTTCATTTTACTACCCTCCAGATGGAAGATCCAGAACATACGGCATAGGTTAATAATAAGCTCCTACAGGGCCATTCAGATGATGTGTTGCAGTTAAGGTTTAATTCACAATAATCCACACAAACACAAATGCACGAGAAAAGGCTGACAGAATAATTTATCTGGGATTTCTCTGAGACAATGTCTCATACAGGTCAGCAAAGATCAAGATATGGTTTTGCAAAGTGACCCTATGGCTTTATGCAGCGGTCTGTGGGAGGAGGTAGCACTGGCTGCCTGTTAATGCCCCTTGTGTGCAGTAGGAGAGCAGTTCCCTCAAGTTGTAGAGGGACCCAAATACAGAACTGGGGGAGCCACGCACTGGGAGTGACACAGAAACTCACTGGGGCTCGTCCACAGCCTCCCTTGGAGAGGGAGGAGTGAACCTTGCCCAGTCCTTGCTGTCCTCATTTCTCTTTAGGGAGGATTCGGATCCAGACCCCAAATGGAGGAAGCGCATTCAAGTAGATCTGATCCAGACACTTAATTGACAGGAAAGCACAGGATTCCCACTTTCTCATGTATAGTGTTCCCTATGGACATAATTAAAAGACCCCCTGCTCAACATACGGGTTTTTAGATCGCCACAAAAAATGTCCCTGTGGAAAGCCCAGCTGCCCATCTCCAGCTTGGAGACTCTCCTCCAGGAGCCAGGTGCTCCTCAAGGAATCATCTAACTTTGCAAGAACCAAGAGACCAGGACAAAATAAGGATCTAAGATTATTCCATCATCTTTAAGGAAACTAGCTGAAGCTACAAAATCCTTCGAAGAGTTACTCACCTGCTCAGTATCTTGATCGCCGATTTCTTCAAGGTACTTTTTAAAAGGATTGGGTTGATAGGGTTCCTCCTTTTGCTGTGCAGTCTTTCCTTTCACCAGCACAGGACGAATGACACCGGGTTTTGTCTTGACCCATAGCACACCCAAGAGAAAAGAGATGGAAGGAAAAAAGAAATAAAATACTTCACAATTTACAGAATATTATTATACAAGTCAATTCCAGTGAGGGTGTAACAACTAGACTTTTTTTTTTAATTTTATTAATAACATATTTCACCACCAAAATTATTCAGGTGTCATGCTGCCTGGCCTACTTTTAATACGGATTGCAGACAAAAATGGCAAGAGCTGATTTTATGCACAGAACCTCATCACTGACATCTGTTTGCTACTAACACAAAAATAGATGCTGGGCTGTCAAACTATTGTTTGTGGGGTTTCTTGGGTGTTTTTGTTAGCTGTTCAACTGCTTCTTGACACGTTCATCAAGTCACACTTTATGCACAGCCCTACGTCTGCTTTCATGCTGCAAATTCTGTTCTGGGCTCCTCAAAACGGTAGCTGTGGGAAAAGGAAGGGACACATGTGATGCTGTAAACTTACACCCAGGCAGCAACATAATAGGGGAAAGTCTTTCTGGGGAATAATACCAGTGATTGCATGCTGGATTTGGACAGTATCTTTAAGGGTTCACTTGGAAAAGTATCATTTTAGAGAATTTAGTCAGCACGGATGTGTGATGCCCCTCATTTCAGACAAACCAGATTATTTAATCAAGAAAAAATTTCTCAGTTAGCTACCAGCCAACCAAAAAATTGACTATTAACTTGTCAATGTAGTACATCTGTGATTTGCAGAATTCTTACAGTAACGTCTGATGGATTGTGGCATAAACTCTAAATGGAGGCTAGAGCATAATTTTTAAATAGACAACTTGTTCAGTAAGCAAAGAAAAGGAAGCAAAAAGCGTACTTTTTCACTGGGATTTGGTAAGTACTGAAGTCCGGGGCAGGGGGAGGGGGTGTGGGGGGTGTGTGTGTGCCTGTGATTAAATTTAAACTTTTCAATAACCCAGCTATATTATTCTCTGTGACAGCTACCCCATAGAAAATGGGTGGTCTTTGTCACAACTGACCTCGATAACAACAGGACTGCTGCTGAGGTCCTCCTGCAGCTGCAGCCCAGAGGGGCAGCTTGCCCGGCTGGCACTGAGAAACAGGTACTGTCACAGCTCCTCATCCTCAGTACCCAGCAGGGTATAAAAATGCAGAGAAGAAACTTGATTCACCACCAGATTTATTTTTAAGATTTAGACTATGTATATTTAATAGCACCATCTGCCTATTTACAAGAGCAATACACCTAAGCAGTCTGTCTAGGAAAAAAGAAGCTTACTATGAAAGTAAACTTCAAATGATGCAGCTTAGATTGCTGGATGGGTTGTGTAAACTGAGTTATTGGTCACTTTAAAATTAAATCTGCAGGCATCCAACCAGGACAGGGCAAGAGGAGTGCCCATCGGAGTGGAAGGGTGCAGGAGGCTGGAGATGTCCCATGTCTTGTGCTTCTGCCTCTACCCTGGGAAAGGGCAGAGCAGTGCCCAGGGGTTGAGTGGAAGATGGCAGAGGCATGAGGAGCACAACCTGCCTAGAAGAGCATGGCCCAGGCAACAAAGTATCTTCCCTTAGCTTCTTAGCTTTGTGTTTTATCCCCTCCCTCCTTTCCAGAGGTTGAGGGCCTTTCATCTGCCTCATCAAATAAGAAGAAACATATTCAACTGAAAGCAATAAGTAAGCCATGAGGTGATATTAACTTTTTTAAAAGAGTAATGACTGCCAAGTTGCATTAAAAATTTAAACTTTTTCACTAAGAAGGTCAACTTAGTGAAAGATATAATGCTCATTTAATGAATGTACAGTCCATAGTTCATGACTATTTCTTTGTAGGATTCACCATAAAATAATTATTTTCCTCTCTAACATTGCTGAGACGAGTTTGTAAACGTGAAAGGCTCCTGGCTTTCAACACAAAGGTAAATATAAAAATAAAAAAAAAGATACATTTGTTATCAAGTCATCATTACGCAGACAAAGGACTTGTGGCCTTCTAGCACTCGTCCACACCATGTAACCATGCAATTAAAAGCCCATTGAGGTACCTGAAATCATCAAGGATAAGCTACTCTCATTATGTAGGAAACCTCTTCCAAAAGGACACTGCAGAAATAAATGCTTCTAAGGAAGCATTTTCTAAAAAACATCATACAGTCAAGTGCTGACTGAATCATATGTTTATGTCTGACTCTGCTAACAGAATGGCAGATATCAGCCAGAAAACAGAATCTGAAATTCTTTATTTTCTCCCTGACAAGCTGTATAAAATCTTTGATCCAAAACTAGAAACTCGAACTCTTTCTTTGATAGCAGGTAGCACAGCTGACCCTTCTGAGAAACAAGCTAAGACTTAGCTTTGCCAAGGACAACAGCGCTGAAAAATGGTAAAGGCTGTTATGGTTGCAATAGGCTGCCTTTGTATGGCTACAGCTCTATTAGCAAATTACACAGGGCCAAGACACAAGCTCCAGAGCTGACCCGTAATCAGTTGTACTGATTTGGTGCCAGGGTGCTCCCTGGCATAGTTTTGGCCCAGGTCAACAAGCGCACAGTCAGAAACAGAGGGATACAGTGGGCCAGGATGTATCTGGGTAGGCAGCGTGGACATTGTCACCCTTCTTCAGGGACAGAAGGTATTTTGACTGTATGAAAATGAGCCATGCAAAATATTCACCCCAAAAGTCAGAAGACTGAACTTCTCGTTGGCAGGTGTGTGGGCGTGTTCACCTCTAATTTTTTCCTCTGTTGTTAAGACACTGGTTCTCCCTGAGATCTTGCTGAAACTGGTGAGTAAAGGCCCCAGTTGCAACCCTGATCCTCTCAGCAGAGGCCTAAAAACCTCTGAGTCCCATGTTTCTCCTATCTGTCAGTGTCACTTCCCCTTATCCAGAGTATTCAGACATCCCCAAGGTATGTAGGGGCAGACCCTTCTTCCATCGCTAGCAATGACTGCACTCCCTTCTCGTGGTGCTGTGTGTCGCTACACAGACTAAGTTGTTCTGGATACCCAAGCAGCTTTCCTGTAAACAAGAAAGTTGCCTCTTAATGTTTAACAAGGAATTGGCTTTTTAATATGTTTTCGATGTAGGGCTGTTTCGAAGCAGCCTGCCTCTGTGAAAAGCAGGCAAATGATTTACAAAACCATGACATGATCAGAGAAAAATATATAACAAAACAGGAGAGCTAGGCTTGGGATAAAAGTTAGATGCCCTCTTTCTTTCCTTTCTCCTCTGAGTCCCTCAGACCTCGCTTGACAAATAGTAAGCACCAAGTCCATCAGTTTGCCTGCACAGCCTTTAAATCCATCTTTTCTGTACAAATAGTCTTCTGCTTCAAATGGGATAACCAAAGAATTCCCTCATGGAGAGGAACCATACCCACTCCTTTTTAGCAAATTCATTAGTTTTGGGAAAAAGGACCCTGAGGCAGATGGGGCAAGTATGCAACGATGTACACCCCAGAAAATGCAGTCATCTCCTGTCATCTTCTGTCAGCACTGAGAAGCCAGAGTCACCTGAGGAACCTCTAAACTGTGAGAGCTCCTGCTTTCAGAGAGTGAGGAACTGGTTCTCTTGTGATGAAGGAGCATTGCAGTTTCCACTGTCAGCAAAAAAGATGCTTTTTCCCCTCACAATACAAACATAGACACTTTGTCTAGTTGAATGGTGAATCACCTTAAAATATGCCCCTTCTATTTCTTTTCTGCTACAAATTAGTCTTCACAAAGGGAAATACCTTATTGAACATGTTAGTTTATTTTTATTTTCCCTTGCAGAGGCCTTACACTTGCAAAAATGCAGTAAAACATTCCAGGCAGTGTATCAGTCTACAATGAAGTTCTCCCTTAGTTCATCTGAAGGTGTGAAGGCATATAACTGTGATTAAAAAGATTTCTTCTTCCTCTGGATAAGTAGTAAATTATTCACACCCCTGAAAAACCTAGGAAGGCAGGATAATTATTTTCTCTACCTCCATGCTGCAGGTCTTGCACCAGAGCACAGAGAACAAGGGCAGTCATCTGGTTGAAATTCAGGTTGCCTTTATTTTTGTTCATACTGAAATATTTGCGTTTCAAGAAACAGCTGAATTTTCAACAAGATGTCTGGTACTATGCTGTATCATGCTTTCCTCTGACTCTGTGCTAAACTAAATCAAAGCTAAAAACCAGTACAGGGATGCATCTTTTTCTCAACAGCTGTAGAAAAGGGAATCTCTTCCATATCCTACTTCGCTGTGTGATGGCTCTGTATGGCCCGCTCCTCGGTATCACTTCAGCAGTGCCTGCGTTTTGGTGCTTCACAAAGAATAAATGTAGACCCACGACAAACACTGCCTTCCAGAAGGCATTCATCAGTGCTCAAAGGCCATGAAATCATTTTAGGTGGATAGGTGCACCCATGACCCCTGATTTTATGCAGGACCTGACAGCTGTGCTATATTTGCTGTCATTCTGACCTGAAGCGGATCTTAAAAGTTGCTGAATTTAGTACTGCTTTACTTTAAAGCAATCACACCGTAATTCTGGAGGTGTCATATTTTCAACCATGGTTTAATTCATTTCATGGAGCTTTGGTCTCAATAGCTTTAAATTTAGGAAATAGTGGAACCTCAGTAATATATGTGCTTAAAAATGAATTAATTAGAGAAAAAATACTTCAAGCTGCCAAGTCAGATCTAAAACAGCCCAGAACAAAATAAGCCATGAAAATATGTATAGATATTAACTGAAGCACTCCAGCTTTAACTCCTGGGCCAGACCATGAGAATTGTCTATTTTTCGCTAATGTTTTTCTTCCTTTCAAATGCTTGAACTCACCCTCTGCTTTGAGTCCCTACAACTCCTATCCACAATACCTTTCATGCAAGAAACTGCACTGTGTTCTGTCTGTTACTATCGTTTAATCCTGCTCACAAAATACAGAAATGCCATTCTGTATTTGGTCTAAATATGTATGGCTCCTTTTTTACTATTTTTGTCTGTAAATATACTTTTATAAATCCTTCCATTGCACACTCAAAAACCATGGATGACTGATGCAGCATGATATATAAAGAAAATACTTATTGCTAATGATAATGTCAATATTGTGTGTTGTGTTGGTGTGCTGGGTATAGCTTTGCACTTTGTTATCATGAGTCATTCATAGTCATCTTTTAAAAGAGTAGAAAATCTGTTGATGAGAGTCACAGTGGCATATGCCCAATGCTTTGCTTGTCCATTGGATAAAAGTCACATAGTTGAGATACAACATTTCTGGTCACCATAAAAAATCAGTCTCTGGTACAGCTAGTCAGAGACTCCACAAGAGGAGAAATAATTGGCTGAATCATAAATGCTGCAAAATTTCTAAGTAAAAATGTTACTACTGAAGAATCATCATTCCTGAACAGAAATCACAATGTGCTCAGAAACAGCATTGCTCGCTAAAGAAAAAACACACAGAAAAATTCCACTGTAGTGATTGCAACTGCAATTTAAAACAGGTGAAATAAAATATATAGTTAAATAATCAAAATAGTTATAATATAAAAAGAAAAAAAAATCCAAGTTGCTGCCAAAAGGATGAAATGGTTGTAAGTGACTAGAATACTGCTTAAGACAGCAGTGTTTTAGAGAAGGTGTGTATCAGCTTGTAAGAAGAGTCCAAGAGATCAGTAAATTCTGGGATCTTCAAAAAGAAGTGCAAAAAGGAGAAAAAAGGAATAAGGATAAAAAGGCTCCAGAGACAAAAAGTTTTGTTCAAACACAATCTAGAGGAAAAAATGAAAAAAAAAAATCTAGCCCATACTATAAAAATGTGATATATTAGGCCAAGAAAGACTTTGAGAAAAAAGAACTTGCTAAATTTCCTTACAACTAAAAGTCTATGGGGACAGTAGATATAATCAAGACACAAAAAAGATGTACGAAAATGGGAGACCAAGGCTGAAAATTAATTCCTCACTTCAGCTTTCCTCCCAGGAAGACTTAGGGAGGTTCTCACACTGGCAAAGAAGCAATTTGGAGGAACTGCCTTGAGTACAGTGTCCATAAGAGAGATTTGAGAACAAAACAGTAAAACACGGAAATAAAGTGCAAGGAATAAGTGAAGTTGTAAAGCAGTTCCAGTGTGAAATTGCCACACTACGAAATGTGGTATTTAATTTCAGACATAATCAGCAGCAGAAGAATGAGACATGGTAACTATGGGGCAGGTTTTTACTACAGGATCCTGAAGAGGACCAGGAATCACAAATCACTGTGTGTGAAATTTCAAGCTGTGCAAAGTAGTAGGAGCAAACTATACTAAAGAACAGAATTAGTATACATATGGATAAATAATAGCAAATGGCTTTTGAAAGGGCTCTCATGCCTGATAAATCTTTTACAGTTATTTCAAAGAGTCAGTGGTGCAAGAAAGCTGGCTGATACAGCAGATGTAGGTTGTGTTTAAACTGGCAATATGACAATCATTGGCATCTAGGAACACGCATTAGATGAAACCAAGTGAGAATCAACAGAACATCTTATGTGAGGCTCAGATTTTGGCTTTTTGTTTTGGTTTTTTTTTTTTTTTTTCCCCACCAGGTCCCTAAATGCATGACCAGGGATAACAAAATGAGGCTGCATCACAGGCATAAAGTCCAGTGGATGTGCAGCCACGCTGCACATGGATTTCCAAAGGCTTTAATGAAGGTCTGTCAGCAGGGTCTACTAAGGAAATGAAACTGCTGTGGAGTAGAAGACAATATTTCCTATCGACCAGTTAAAAGGTTGGAAGCAAAAGGCTGGAATAAATGTCTAAATTTCACAGTGGAGAGAAGTCATAAATAGAGTTCTTCAGAGACGTGCTCTGGAATCTGGGCTTTGAATTATGGATGTACATCGGCTAGAAAAGAGTGGCTAGTAAGGTGACAAAGTTTGCTGGGGATACTGAATCATTCAGGGGAGTAAAAACAAAATATCAGTGCAAAGAGTTGCAGAGAGAACTTATGATACTGAGTGAATGAATGACAAAAAGGCAGGTGAAATTTAACTGAATTCAACATTGATACATTTCATAGGGGAAAACTAAACTACATCCTGAATTTACACATGCAGTGATGAATAGTTAGCTCAGAAACTAGCTCTTACTACTCAGAAAAGTCTATACTTCTCAAAGAGAGACTAAGCAATTTTTACTTTTCTATATGAAAAAGAAGTGACTGATAGGGTATTCTGGTTAATACCTAGAAAATAATTAATATTATTTAGAAAGTGAAGAAAGAACAATTATAGAACTAAAATAGCAGGTTTAAAACAAAGAAATAAAGTACTATTTCACACAATGTATAATTAAAAAGTAAAACTTATTGCTACATAATGTTGTGGAGACCAAAGAATAACATTCATACAAGTAACTGGAAAAAATCATGAAAGAAGAAGTGGTCAAAGATTACTAAACAGAAGAAATTGGTTCAGGAAGTCCTTAAAATTCCATTAGCTGAAATATGAAGGGGAAAATTTCTCATCCAGATCTCATTTTTTTCCCTAAGCATTCATTAGTGGTCACTGTCGCTTGGAACATGACCTCTCTTCTGACTTCTTCAGAAAGTTTGGCTCCAACAGCACTAAACTGTGATCAGAGCTAAAATGAACATCTGACACATAATCTCCCTTTCTTTATTTGATTTTACCCTTGCTTTTTACTGGTTGATTCAGCTTTGACTCAAACCAGTGTGTTAGAAGAAAATAGATGCCAGAATGTTGTTGTAAATAAACAAAATTGTAGAAATGGAATATTGAAAGAGCCCAAGAACCAGAAGTAAAGTCTATAGTTGTCATACACCTCAAGATTCAGCAAGAATCTAGTTTGCCATTTGGTCCATGGGTTTACAAGTTGGGATTTAGTTACTTAAAACAGGTGGCTATTCAGTACAGAAGAAAGTAATGCAGCTCTGTAGAAGCAATGCAGCTTTGTAGGAGGATATTGACTGCAGCTTCTTTCAAAGAACTAAGAAAGCAAATAATAATTACTTTAGATTTTGTGGTTGTGCAAATTTTGAAAAACAGTCCATCACAGCTGTGCAATACATACCAGCTGACTCTCTGATACCATAGGTGCTGATTTGTAAAGGTTGGCCTGCAAAAAAGGAAATATATACAGTATTACATACAATATCAGAGTGATTATAGCAATGACAGAAGAAAAATCCATGGACAGCAGTATGCTTAGGTACAGAAGCTTCTACCACTGATACAGTGACATGCAATTGGTAGAAGTTAAAATGTTGTCATTTCCAGTTCATTTCTAGGTATAACCAAATATGAATGCCTGTTGTTAAAATTTTAGGGATACTTTTTTCCAAGTGCAACAAAATTTCACTTTTTCATCTTGATCTAATCTCAAAACGTAAATCCCAACATTTCTGAGCCTGCCATTGTCTGTTAATTTGCAGCACCAACATTATTAGCACCATTAATTGTATTGGGAGCTCTGTCCAACCTTCTCATCCTTCTGAGTTTACATTATGAAAACCAGAACAAGCCTACTCAAGCATTATTTTGTTTTTCTGAATATACACTGAACAGCAGAAGCCCTATTTTCCAGTTCAAGGGTAAATGTGATGAACACGAAGTATTTGTGTGTGTATGTGAAATAGTATCGTGCCACATGCTTATTTGCCCGTGCAGTGGTGAGATTCAGAATTTCTGGTGTATTGATCCCTCCAATCAACTCCTTCAAGCTCTGTAAGAGTTCCACTGGATAACACAGTGTTTCTGTACAGATAACATGCCCTTCCTTGACATAGGTATGATTTGGAGGCTTGAGACTCTAAAATGTGAATATTCTTCAGTAGGGTGGTAAAAAAATAGTAGTAGATACAATGGTTAGATGTTATACCTGTAGTAGAAGACAAGTTAGTGCCATTACAGCCTGTACCTTCCGCAGAAGGGCCACTACTGCTGGATTTTTGTTAACTCAACTATATGTTCCTCTCTGTTTCAAGCAATTCCAGCACATTTGGAGAAGGAAGAACATGTCCTTCCTTTGTTTCCCTGTGACAGACCTTGCAGAGATTTGGCCACAGAACTTCAAATGTGGTCTCCCAAGTGCTAAATAGAGATGTTTAATCACTCCCTGGACCTGTCGACTCTATTCTTGCGTTGGTGGTGAGAACAGCATCACCATGAGTCATAGTGGAGTCACTGAACTCCTCACTAAGGTCCTCATTGAGAGCACTCACATCTCTAAGCACAGACACTAGTGGAGGAAACCTTCCCACCCACACAAGGACACCTGTGATTTAGCACTAAATCTACAAGAATTACATCTTCTGCCCTTGAGAGAGTAAACTCGAGTTTTTACTAGAGGTTACTTACATACTAGGGACTCTCCTCCATACCATTAACCAAGTGTGACGACCAATCTCATTGTGAGCTTAAAGACATAAAAGCACTTCAGAATGATCTACAGATACAAGCAGGCTGGAATTAAATTCTCTCACTTCAGTTGTGCAAATTACAAGTAAATCTCATTTCAGAGGGGTTACCTGAAATGTATATAAGCACAGCAGACCACAGATAAACACTACTGGTTTCTGCATGTCTGTGTACATTTTTAGCTGCTTCATCTTCTCTTATTTTTTCACTTGTGTATCATGTCTATAGCACTTTAAAAAGATTTTTTTCTTAGAACTGTCAAGAAGAGCAAAAACATCAATAATATGCAAAGAAATTATTCCAATTAATCATGAGAAATTATTTTTACAAGAGTTTTAAGTGGGCTAAATGACAAAATTATAATTTTGCTAGAACTTGAAATTAAAGTTAAGAAAGCTTTTGTTGGTGACAGTAGTTATATGGAAAAACAATGACTAAGTATATATACTAGGGCACCCAATAGCCATAAAAGTAATTTATTTAGGGAATGATCATTTTATTATATTATTATTACAAATCAGCAGTATCATCCCTTAAGCCAACTATTATAAAATGGTGAATGGGATCACAACAAAGACCATACAGTCTAAAAAGTTCTTAAATGACAACTGTAGTACTTAGCTGTCAGCTGGTACAAACTGTTGTAATTTCACTGTGTTGTGGTTTAACCCGGCAGGCAACTGAATACCACCCAACCGCTTGCTCACTCCCCCCCGTCCCTCCCTCAGTGGGATGGGGGACAGAATCAGAAAAAAAAAGTAAAAACCATGGGTTGAGATAAAGGCAGTT